TGTGTGTGGGATTGGATGGGTTTTTTTGGCCACAGTTCTAAGGACAGTCCCCATCAGGAGCCTAAAGTGGCTGGCCTGGGCGGTGGCGCGCGCGTGTTGCACTTTGAGCAAAGTTCTAGAGCACTTCTATAATTTCTGCCCCTGGGCGGCGGCCGGGATGGGGGGTTCCGAGGTGGGGGACCCTCCTTCCTCAACAAGTACCACCACCATTGGCAACTACTTCTTGGCACTCAGATAGCATAAAGGTGGAGACCTCGGTTCCCAAAGGTGACTACCGTTCAGCCTCGGGCAGACAGCCTGGGGGTGATCTAAGTAAGGGTGGGTCAGGGAGTCCTTCAGGTGAGATGTCTTCCAGAACATTTTGAGGGGTCGGGCATATGCCTCGGCTCAGAGATGAAAGTATGATAGCTATCCACGCACCTCATCCACCCCCACGGCCTAGGGAAAGCCGTGAAGCAAAAGGAGCTAAAGGGTAGGGGACGCGGCAGGTGCGGAGGAAGACGCAGGGAGAGACAGAGAAGATGGGACCAGCCCCTGTCTGTATGGTCCAGTGGGATCTTAAAGATAACGGTGGAAGGGATCGGGAACAGGATTAACAGGGTCAGGACGGGTCAGTGGAGCAGGTGAGGCTCTGGGGACGCGGGTGGCCTGGAGGAGAGAAGGGGTACAGAGCAGGAGGAACGCGAACCCCCTGGGCTGGGGAGTCGCTGCCAGGAGCTGCAGGGAGCAGGAGGGCGAGCATGGGGCTTCGCCCTGACCCCTGGCGGCCGGCGAGGGAGGCAGGCGCTCCCTGCCTGGTACCGAGGGGTGTGGTGTCCTTCCCTCCGTCCTCTTAAAAAGCTTGCGGCACTGGAGTTTTCTGTGCGCAAAGCCTTCAGGGTTGAAGTTAGCCGAGACTTGGAGCTCCAGGCTCCCCCGACAACAGGCTGACTTCTGACGCTTGTTTTTCTTTCTGAACTTTTTTCCCACTGCCTTTGCCATCCTCCCCTGGCTTGGCCGGCTGCCTTCACAGGGACATCTCTACACCGTTCCCATCCGGGAACAGGGCAACATCTACAAGCCCAACAACAAGGCCATGGCAGACGAGGTGAATGAGAAGCAAGTGTACGACGCGCACACCAAGGAGATTGACCTGGTCAACCGGGACCCCAAGCATCTCAACGATGACGTGGTCAAGGTAAGCCATGGTGGCTGTCTGGGTCCCACAACCCTTCTCTCTCAAGTAATTGGGCGTCCTTTCATAGCTTTGTCACACTGGCACTGTTTCCTAGGCTTGGCTGTATGTGAACCCCTGGTCCCTTGTCAGAAAGGTCTCATCTGCCTTGCCTCCTCCTACTAGCTAGTTGAACAGAAATTTAGCTAAAGTGAGCCTTGTGGGAGTTCACAGAACCTCAGCCACAGGTGGGCCCCCACATTACTTGGGAAAAGAAGATGACTGTGGTCCATTGCCAGGTTAATAGTCCAGTGACAGGTAAATAATAGTGTGCACCACGGTGAAGGTCAGAATACAGTATAAGCATATTCCTTCAGCTAAAGCAATCTAAAGTGATTAGATTAAAAATAATAAATGAGTGGAAATGCTTAAAACTATCTTATATGTATATATTTTGTATGCAATTGCATATATATAATATACATATATATGAATAGGGTTTTAACTATAAAAACACAGCACATGTACAAGGCTAAGCCAATTTACCAAACTGAAAATAATTTCCACCTCTTAACTTCTGGATCCCTCTAGTTAGATGTGGAAAGATGCATCTGTGGTGACAGCCAAGGTCAGCCTGCCCTGGGCTAGCAGAACATTCAGGTTGGCGTTCCATTTTACACTTTGAGGATATACTTGCTGGGGTTTAAAATACATTACTTTCCTGGGTTGTTGGCCGAATGTAGACTTGACACAGTGGTCTGATTTTCATTATCATTTTGTTATTCAACTTTGACCCTTTTAGCAATTCTAGCTCAAGGAATTTATTGTCTGAGTCCGTGTGGGTTGAGAAATACTGGACTTGAGCTGTCCTTGGCAGAGGATTTCCTCTGAGTGGCCTGGAGGGCCAAGGAAAATCCTGGCCTCGGGGTTCCAGTGGGAAGGAAGCCCCTGTCCTGCCCAGCCGCTAATGCAGGCACCACTGAGGAGCTCATGGAGTTTCCACCCACAGACTCCTATCTATGGATGGGAGGAGCTCCAGTGCAGTTTCACCTTTATGAATAATATATTTTAGAAAGGGAAATGGTTTAATCTACAACTGGAGGGAAAGTGTACCTGTGAAAATTCACTCTCTTGTTTTGCTGGTAGAGAGAAAAGGAAAATTGACTGCTTTCTCCTGGCCAGATTGTGGAATACTTAAAACTAGAGATGAAGGCATCCCATAAACTGGAAGTTAAGCTTGCTAAAATCTGTTTGTTAGCCACACTTCCCTAAAGGGGAAAAGACATTTTGCTTCTCAACCTTCTTGTGCTGCCTGCTTTGGTCAAGGAGGGGGACTCAAAGGATAAAAGCAGATTCCAGGATCTCAGATCAGCTCCCTGTTTGTTGCCCTGTTCTCGGAGCAGGATTCCCTGGAGCAGACCGGCCTCCTGGGATGAGTCAGAGAGGCCAGCAGTGTGGATGTGGGCCTCCACACAGCATGACTAAGTGGAGAAAGCAGGCCCCACTGGGAAAAAGACTTCAACACAGATGGAAAAAAAGGCATGGCAGGCTCGGAGGAAATAGCAGTTTACAAAATACCATTTCAAGGGCAAGTGTGGGGAAACCTCAAACTAGAGAAATTAGAGGAGTTACATTAGTGCCTACCTACTTGCTCACAGAACCAGGAGCAAATCCAGCAGACAAGAAAAACCCACCTTGAGAAAAGAATGTGACAGGATTTAGGCAGAAGCCCCGCCTAGGAGGATGTCTTCAGAAAACACTCCCTCTGCGAAGAGAGACCCAGGCTGCCCCTGCACAGTCTGCTCCTCCCCTCTCCTGCACTAGTACCTAGAAAATTTCCACCATCCTAGAACTCTCTGCTGGACAGTGTCTGGCAAGAGAGTCCCCGGCTCTTCACAAATACCTTCATATCAAGATGAAAAACACAACTAAACAAACCCTCTATGTAGAGAAGAAACGAGGCCCAAATTTAAAGTATGAAGAACAGCACGGTTCATTGTCCACATCCTTTCAGGCCTACACATCAAGTATGGAGGCGTGGCAAGCCTCCAAAGGCTGTGTGCTCTGCACTTGAGCTTCAGTAACACACAGCATAATTACCCAGTCCACTGGTGACAAGAGTATCAGTTTAAGTATAGAATTGATTGCCAATAAAAATCATTTTCTTGTAGAGCTTTGCCATCCCACGTAGTGATTTTTCTGCATATATACATTTACCCCAAAATACTGTGATTTAAATATTTTCTTAAATTTCTTCTGCCGAAGTGGTTAAAACTCAGAGGCACAATTCTTCCTCTAACATGTCTAGGTTCATTCCTATGCCTATTACATATGACTAGAATTTGAAAATAAATAAAATGCTTTAAAATGCAAGATTCTTATATCTTACTAGTTACCAATCAACCTGTCACATTGGGATGTTAGGCTGGATGCTTGTCATTTAATTCTTAAAATGAATCCAGCAGAGAAGAATATTACTGTTAATGATACAAAAGATGCACATATTATTAAAAATCTTAATCTTACACACTCACACACACACACACACACACACACACACACACACACACACACACAAACAACCAAAACAGGTGCTTTAGTTTTGCCTTGACTACAAGGACACATGTAGCTAGATATTTTTATTTTATTAGCACATTTTATTTACTCTTTCACACATGTGGTTTTATGTTTTCACTTCCTCTTTTTTACTGAATTGCAGTTTTATGAGGCTCCATTGTAAACCCTGTCATTTTATAAATAGACAAAATATATGCTATAATAAGTCAAAATAAATAGTACCACATATTGCAGAACAAAAATGATTTTAAAATAGTGATTGCCATGAACTGTCAGGAAGATGCAGCTATGGAAAGAGCAACAGGTGGATAGAAGATGATGCGTTAAAAATGCTTTCCTGGAGAGGGTCAGGAAGGACATGGTGGAAGAGCACAGTCTGCATGCAATAGTTTAGGAGGTGCAGGAGGGTACAAGGAAGAGAGACAAGGAAAAGTATCTTCATATATTTATTTAACATATAGTGTATTTTGAGCATATTCTCTTCCACACTCCCCAACCATTTTCCTTCCATTTCTTGACCCCTGCTTCCCATTTGCCTTCTTTGTTCCCCTAGACACTTCTACTCTTTTTCATGGTTGAAATTATAATCACACCATCCCCCCTCTACCCCGAAGCCACTCCCATTGTAACCGTGGACTCTTTCTCAGATTCATAACTGCTTTTTCTTTCATTGTTGTTACAGATTTGTGTGTATGCATGTTTCTAAATATATAAATACAACCTGCTAGGTCCATATAGTGCTACTTGTGTATATGTTTTCAGGGCTGACCATCTGGTATTGGATAACCAGTTGGTGTGTTCTTCCCTGAGGAAGACTTTCTCCCTCTCCCAGCATTCCTTAGCTACTGTGGTTCTTTGTTTCGGGGTTGAGGCCTCATGGTCTTTCTCCTTTCCTTAGCATGTCTACTGATGTCATCCTTGCTCAGGTCTTGGTCTTGTTGGTGAGGCTTCATGGATACTGCTACTCTGACATTTCTGGGAGACACCGTGTCACAGCAAACTCCCTGTTCTTCTGACTCCTAGAATCTTCCCACCCCTCTTCCACAACAACCCCTGTATATTAGGAGCAGTTGTACCATACAGTTGTTAACGTCTCGCTTTGAAATCTAGAGGCTCATATGGCAGAGGGGAAGACACTACAAATGAAATGAGTGATTCTAACCAAACAGCAGAGTCCAGTCCTGAATCTCATACTCACTTTAAGGGTGTAGGCTCCCCAGCCAGCCTTGGGAAGCTATGGAAGAATTCAAGTATGGGCTTGCTGTGAGGAGCTGGAGTTTGGGGAGACGAGCGTGAAAGTGCAGGTATGATGCTGCCATGTTGGGTGAAGAGGAAAGTGTTGAAATACAAGTGGTCCACAACTCACAGTGATCCAACTGATTGTTCAGTTTTACCAAGCTACAAAAACAAAACAAATTCAGTAGGAACTAGTCTTCAAAAATTTGAATCTTGACCTTTCCCTAGTCTAGCAATATGTAGTACAATGCTGTCTTGTGATGCTGGGCAGTGGCAGCGAGCCACAGCTCCCAGTTGGCCACACAGTCACAAGAAGAAACAACCACCAATACTACCGTATACCATGTGGATAAACCATGGTGCTCAGTAGGTTAGGTTCACTAAATGCATCTTTGACTTGAAATATTTTCAACTTATACTGAACTTAATCAAATGTAATCCCATAGTAATTTAAGGAGTGTGTGTATTTAGTCCATGGTCCAAATGTGAAAATGAAAAGGATCCCATCAGCAGGAATGGGATCATCTAGGCCCACAACAAAATAATCATGGGAACATAATGGCTACCAGCCTAGTTTCTAGTCCCCTGTTTGGACAATAATAAGAATTAAGGGTTAATAAAGTTTAAAATGTTTCCCCTAGTTTCAAGGAGTGCTCAAAACAGATATTTTGAAATGTATGACTAAAGAAGATAAGATTACATGATTCGTCATGGATTATTGTCTTGGGGGAAAAGTGAGTTTAGTGATCCTGAGATTAGCACTGAGACAAATCAAAACATCTGGGAAGAGGACTTTGCTCAAAAGTAAAAGTATCTGATTGTAGCATTCTCCCTGAAGACATGAATGAAATGATTCTTAAACACACACACACACACACACACACACACACACACACACACACACACACACACACACACACACACACACAATTTCCTTTAATCTTTGAGCAAAGGCATGTGTGTGGCTTGCAGAGCAGTATCAATGGTGTTTCCTGATGCATCTATAACCCTTTTATACAAGAAAATAGTCTAGAAAAACTGTCATTAATGTCAGATAAGCATCACATAAAATTAAGCCACTTTGATACACATATGATCAAAGCACATTTTCAAGATCATGGTGGCATCCTTTTCTGTTGAAATTGATAGCAGTTTTACTTGGTTTTTGTTTGTTTAAGATGCTTCATAAGATGGTAATCAAAACTCTGCCC